TTTAGCACCATTAATAAATGTGTTAAGTTTTTAATAAAATTAAACCTAAAAAAAAAATGTACTTTAATATTATTATCATAATTATTATAGTTAAAAGTAACTCCATACCTATCTAAAATAAGTATTTGATTCACCTACAATAGGAGTTGTAGATACCTATAGTAAACTAAAATATATAATTACTATTTAAATAGTTTTAAATTTATTACAACACTGCCAACGAGATAAGTTATTACCTATTTATTATGATTTTGTTGCATTAAAGCTGACGATTCCATTTATTATTGAGAGGGATCTGTATACGTAGGTAGATATCCCAATAAATATATATGCTTTTTGCGTTCATACTGTCGGCTAGCTTCGAGTGTTGTTACATAGATTAGTCTTGATGTGTCGTTTACATTTGCCATATTCATATACTGATTGATTCCGGACACGAATAGTTTTAGTTTATTTAATATCAACTGTTAAACATATTGTACATGATATGAATGGATATTAATGTACCTACTATTGAATAACATTTTACACAGATGTTTAGAGTTCACAAATGAACGTTATTATAATGGTTTTAGAAGAAGTCTAACTTGAACAAATTAAGTCAAGTTTATATATTATCATTATGTTAGACAATATTATGATAATATTGTGATATTAAAATGAATGAGATTTTTCGACCAAATAGATTTGTTTAATAATTGCGGTCAAGTTAACATTACTGAAGGTGTGAATTATTTGGCTCTGAGTATAATAGATCATATCTTATGATTAAGATAATTTTTATATAGAGTATAAAAGGGATTTTAGTTAATATTGCTGTAACTGATTAAAAAGAGTTCTAATTATCTCAATTAATTTCAAAGTAATTTCAAAATCTATTGAATATAAATATACGTATTTCGTATAGAGTCGTTTTACTCTACGTTGACGACTTAAAATTTGAATAATTATTAGGTGAAAAAAAATTTAAAATACATTTTCTAATATTTATTATTCACATGTTTCTTCTTGAGTGGTTGTGTGAGGTATATTTATAATTTTTTTGTATTCAGTTTAACGTCAAATTAACTCATCTACTCTTTATTTTTCCAATATTAGAAGAAGCCTATTGCGTAGTAAAAATTTTTCATATTTGTATTTTGATTAATTAAAATTATAAAAAACATGTATTTTCAAAAACTTTTAGAAACTTTCTCCTCCCCTCCTTCACAACACACACACACACACACACACACACACACACACACACACACATCGACTCCAGCTCGTCATTATGAAATAATAAGTTTTATTTTTTTGGCTACAATAAATTGTAGGTAGAGATATTTTACGTGTAGTTGAAATGTTGGTCAACTCATAATTCTTCTTAAAATCAGTATATTATGTAAGTCGTTATTACTTTAATCGTTTGTCATCATCGTGGTCAAAGTATAATAATTATTAAACTGTTTTTGCCTATGGGTTCATTTTATATTTCTGTAGCAAACAATATAATTGGTATTAACCGTGAAAATCACTTCGGTTATAGCTTATAGATCCTATTATGAAACTTGAATTCAATTTAATCATATATTTTTAAACGAAGAATTTCTTACATAGATAATTTTTGAGGGAAATTTGATTCTCCTAGTAGATATATCATTAGGACTCTGAGAATATTTTGTAAAGGATATATTTTTACCAGAGTAATATAATTTTATTATAGATCATTTGACCAAATATAAACCTAATTATTTATTCGAAAATATTTAAACCGGTTGCTGAAATAATAGTGTTGGTTCAAAACGCGTCGATAATATATCAACACATAAACTAAATATAATATTATGTTATAAATTAAAATAAAACCGATTTGTCACCATTAAACATGTACAACATAATCATATATGAATATATGATATATACTTACGTACATGTAGGTTAGGTTAGCTTTATGGGTTAAAATTTTTGAGTGTGTACAATTGGCTTAATGTATTGTATTAATGTGATCGACAATCATACATCAATTAACCTTTAAAAACTGTCCGGAAAAGTGTTGAAATCGTGGCCTTGTATTGACACTCATCGCCAGAGGCCACGCGAAACACGATATTTTATATGAAATGCAAAATGATAATACTGATAATGGTACGCTGTAATTAAGTTTTTACAGTTGTTTATATCATCGCTTCGGTAGTATTATTATTGCAGCAGTTGTCGGGTCAATCAGTCAATTGAGTTTTATATTCACCGTTATTTCCCCGGTGTCGTTTTTACTTTTTTTCACAAAACGTACTTAATTAATTGCGTATTTATATAATATTATATTACAAGCGAAAAAACATTTAATTTATCATTCTGAGAATAATAAATTGCATCTGTCAACACAAATCATTTTAAAACGTCAACGTACAGTCGAAATTAAAAAAAAGTGTTTCTATCTGTTGTGGTAATGTGGTGTATATCCATAAAATGTCGAATAATATTTATATAATAAGCTATTACTACCTATGCGGGTCTTTATGAAAGTTTTACAATAGTATCCGAGAAAATATTTGTGTGTAAAACTTAAATCAAAGCTCATATTTACAATGGGAGGGTGGTATAACGGGTATATAAACCACTGTTCTTCGACAACCTCCCAAGTTTCCAACCAGAAATCGCTATTAGTAATAATATGTGAAAATTGTATAAATAGTTTTGGTCATTATTTTTAAGTTAATATTATCGTATAATATATTATTAAGTAACCTGCAATAACATATAAGTACATACTCGTATACCATAATATTCATGTTTAATTATGTTATAAGAATATATATGTGAGTATATTTAACACTATTTATGTAAATATAAATATATACTTGTTGAAATAAAGCAAAATTATTTTGAAATGGGTATTTGGGTTTTTATTGAATTTTTTTTTTTTTTATTGTTTATTAAAAATAAGTATATTTACAATCTATACATACAGTGTATAATGAATGAGTAAGTGTGGTGATTTAAAGAACAATTATTGAATTTACTCAACGTTTAATAACAATACCAAGAATACTTACACCTACTAGGATTAT